TGACTTCAGTACTCGATGAAGACATTGGCATATACCAGCTTGATGGCCGCACCCAGCTGGTTATATCGTATATACATGACATCACAGGAGAAATATGGAATATGTCCGAAGACTCAAAAGACCAAGAATTGTTTAGCAACAGATCATCAGAGAAAGAAAAGTACAAATTCTTAAAGGCTGGAGATAAGATTATGATTTTCCATGCCCACTTTGCAAAGTTTGATGGTACTCCATCTTTGACCTGTTGTGGCAGGAGTTTAGTACTGAAGGAAAGGTGAGGTTATATATTTTTCCATAAAAGAATGAACTGATAGATATGATTTTAAGCAATGGATTTCATCATGCAATCTTTCACAGATGAAGATAAGTACTGATAATTTCCTTTCAGGCAGTCACTCGTTAGTCCAGTAGGGAACAGAAGCCCTAACGCAACCTTAGATATGCTACACTACTATAACTTTGGCATTCATGGCTTAAAGTGGTTGGCTGAAGTAAGAGACCATCTAGTATCTGTACTTTGTCCTGGTATTGTGGAGAGGAAGCATATCTTGAGGTTAGACTTTTTCTTTTTTAATGTAATACCTGAATTGGACAAAATTGTTTAATACCATCTAAATCATTGGTTCCCAACCTTTTTCATTCCTGGCCTCTGACCTGTACATAATAATCTCCATGGCCCCATTCAGTGACTCTTTTCAGATTCAGCTATTACTGATTATGAACAGTTTAATAGTGTTAGTAGCTATTGGACCAGAGCATTTTATAGAAAGATTCCAATTTATTGATATGTGAGAGTTAATTATATGTAGGTACTGTAAGTGTGATAAAATTCACTTTAATTTGACATCATATTTTTGTTTTCACATTGCCCCATGGCCCCCCAGGAAGTACCCCAGGTTGGGAACCCATGATCTAGATAGAAAAATTTTATGAAACTATTTTTATATTTGCTTCATTTGGGTTGAGTGGGAAGAAAAAGAGAGTAAATAGGTTTTGAATTACAGAGTGTGAGCAGATTTTGTTCTATGAATATTAGCTTGTAATTTGTAATTGCAGAAGAAAACATAATGGGGAACGAAGTATCCTGACTCAACTTCTACGACTGGCTGCGGATCGTCAGCTGATATCTGCAAATCCTCGTTCACTTACATTAGAGTTTTTATCTCTCACACATCAGTGTGTTTTGGACAAGGTATGATTTCAGTCTTGTCTGCATTGATATGCATATAAATTAAAAAGATAGAATCTAGATATTGATTATGCCTAATAAGTTATTATCTTGATGATGTAAATTAGACCAGCTGCTATTTGGAAGGAAAAGACTGTATGTAGATTTGATGCATTCTTTACTAAGTATTTATTGTTCATTTAAAAATCACTAAAAAATCTCTATGGCATGTGTTCCTTAAAATGCCCTCATATTTGATATAACAGTTGAACCTGAAAAGGTTTAAGGGTTAAATTTTTCTTCTGTTTTTCAGTCAAAGCCTAATGATGCTGCGAACACATATTATCTACCATGGTTTTGTTTATTATTAATATATATATATTTTTTATGCAAAGATGACTCCATAAGCATTTAGTTACGTATGAGTCAGTTGTTAATGTCACCAGAAAGTCACTTATAAAGCTGCCTGACCTCACTTGCTTATCTTATTCCTTGAATTTTCATCGAGAAATCATATATTTATTTTACTATTATTATCAGTAGTAATAAAAGGGATTCGTGTTATAGTCTTTATTATTATGTTATCAAAATGTCTTTTTCTTCCTTATGAATAAAATTCTAGAAGATAAATAGTAATAAAGTTATTACCAATGTTTCCAGTAACTGGCCTTTGTGGTTCTATGCAAAGCAACCAAAGTTTAGTATCCATGAAGATTTCTTTATCTATATATTCATAAATATTTAGAACAAATGCTTAGTTCAGTTTTAAGATTAGATGGTCTTTATACTGATTTTTTTTTATATATTTGTTACAAATTTTAGTTTTAGAGTGAAGTTGAAATTAACCATGTTGTTGGGATGATGTTTCAGGACTTTGAGGCCCCATTTACCCTCTTGAGTGTGTTGGAATTAGAGTCTTCTGCCAACATGAATGAATGTGATAATGAAGAGAAGCAAAAAGTTTGGTCTTATAACATTGATCATCATGAACCTTCAAGAGCTGTTATTGGTATGCTGCAGCTTGGCCAAAATGGGGTCCTACAACTGAGAGATCAGCATGCTGACATAGATCTTGTGGTTGTTGGGAACAAGGAAGATTTGTTAGAAAAGGTTGGGGCAATAGTTGTGTTGTTCAATGGCCAGTATGTGCAGGAGACCTTTAATATCATTGCAGAAGGGAGTGAAGATAATTACATAAAGAAATACATGGTTGTTAGAAATGCTGACATGTTGGTCCTCAGACTTTGTAACAGGGCAGAGAAAATGGAAGAAATGGAGACCAATATGGACCCTTTTTATGACATAAAGATACTTTCAAAGTCAAATATGATTTGTAACCAACACCAAGGAAGAAAACTTTACAAAGAAAACTTTCACATGGACATGTTCTTCATGGCCCAGGTTGTGATCCAGAAGCTGAATCAGAAAGATTCCCAGGAAGAGAGATGGAAAACATTTGTGAAATTTCACGGGGACAATGCATTATACCATCCATGTCTTGAAGATGGCATTTGTTACAAGGTTAGAATACCATCAGCCACTGTCTGTGACATGAAGATGCGGAAACAGTACTCAAATGCATGGTTGCAGCCTCTTCAAGCATATTTTGGAACATGTGAATGTATTTATCTCCCGGAGGATTCTTACATTGAAGGAGCTGTACCAGGAACAAAGCATTTGAATGAAACTAGTGTCTGCCAGGTACTAGACTCTTCATATGGAGAATGTGGACCAATATCTGTCAAGGCAGTTATCAAGCAAAGACAGCACATGACTCCAAAATTCCCCTCTGAGTTTAAGTTAAGCAGTGCAACTTCGTCAAGTAGATATCATGTAGGTGTTCCTGGAAACAAGGTAATAAGGGTCTTGTTATGTGACTGTGAAAATCCAGATGAGGAAATATGGCTTTACCTTGGGAGTACCTCTAATTATCATATCCCACAGTATTCACTTGGTATAATACCAGGGGTAACCATCATTGCATCTTGTGTTCTTAGAAATGTTTCCAAGCAAAACAAGAAGATTTATCTCCAAAGTACTGTGTTCACATGTCTAACACCAATATCTAAGGCTGCACCAGACCTGTCCTCATTTCTGCCTTCCATTCACAACCCAAGACGCCGCTACTTGAAGGATATTTTAGGACAGCCGGCTTCATCATTTCAGACTTTTGCAACCATAGGGCGCGTATGCAAAGTCTCCTTCTGCTGTGTCTGCAATTTCTGCAATGCTGAAATGGTTGGTTCATCATGCACATATGTTGGCTGCCATGCCCAAGGCTCAGGGAAGGTGGTGGCTAGTGCTCAGGTGGTTATTGATGATGGCACAGGAACTGCCATGGTGTTCATAAGTTCTGTTGAACATGTAAAAGTTCTCCTGCAATTAACACCTCATCAGTATTCCTTACTGTCCCAAGAGATAGTGTCCAGCTCCCACAGCCTGAGCTACACATCCAGATTCAAGGACACTGATGCTGATGGTATGTTGCATCCTTCTGAGTCTGGCCTTACAAAAGCCATGGGGACAATATGTTCTTCCAGTCAGTTGCTAAGGCCAGTGAATATGGTATGTAGGATATTTAAGCAGCAGATGCAGAAGGATGGGCAAGATGAAGACCGAATCCATTTATATTGTGTGGCCATTTCTGAGATCAAACCAAACATAGATTGTGAGGAACTTTTAAAGGATGTTATGTAGTTTCATTGGACTGCATTATGTGTAGATGAAGCTGTCATAACAATTTATTCATCACTATTTTTATTGATACCATCATCACATTATTTTCATTCATAATTCTTTGCTTTTTAGAAGAGTTATGTATTTTATGCATTATTATTTAAAATTTCTTAGTGTCATCTAAACTGTAGTGTTTATTGTTTTATGGTAATTACTATTACAATTAGCCAACATTACAATTACTTGTAAATACAAGGAACTGATTAATCTGTGATATAGAGGATTATCAACCATATTCTAGATTGTTCACACTAGGCCCACACTCCATATAGGTCCATTATACAAGCAGTGTGAGTAAGCCTACTCTTCAATTTGACCAGGGCTGCCTATTTTGAAGCTGAGATCTGTTTGGTTACTTTCACTTGGCTGTCTGATCACAACAATCCATTAATACTATGAAACTTCACCTGATTCCCCTCTCTGAGGACAATAATGTTAGTATCAAAATATATCAAGATTTACAAACTATCAGCAACACTGCTTTTTAAAAAGTTAGGATATCATTTTAATGTGAGCTTACTGCAGTTCTATACCCTTGGGTATAGTGTCATGAGTGCAGGATCTACTTATCCTGAGGAGGATATATTAAAATCGTTGTTGGCAGCTGTAGTCATCTGGATATAATACTTCTGTTCACAATTCGTGATTCAAAAATATAGAAGAAATAGAACTTGTAGTAAACAGACCTAGCTGAAAATAATCCGGGTGAGTGACTATATAGTGGTAACCAAAATTTGTGAGAATTCATTCTCTAAAATTTAAGATACACTACCAAAAGTGACTCCATGAATGGTTGGCCAATGTTTGTACTTACTAGTGATTTCATGAAATATGTTAGTTTTATATATATATATATATTTTAGCCCTGACACCTATGTTAGGCAGTCACCCTTGCATTACTATCACAGCAGTCTCCTGGTAACACTTTGTTGTAGAAAAGAAATCATGGCTTAGTAGGGACAGGGTGTGGGATTAGTGTGTACATCCTAGAATATGGCTATATATATTTAGGTTATATTTTAGGAAATTGATTTTATTGAGTAAATTTATATATTTTAATGCCCTTCTATTGTATTTTCTCCTTTTCCTTTAGCAT